AAACTTTGTAGGGCGTTTGGTGAGGTGATCCCGATTGACTGGAAAACTGTAGGATAGCTGCATCTCTGGCACTTGAGTTTCATCACGGCTCCCATGTCCTCTCTTCTTTCTGCAGATTCAGTTTACACAATCATATTTCGGAATACATTTTGATGCTTCTCTGAATTATCCCATAAGATAAAGAAAATTTAAATGAATTATTGCTTCGAAAGCCCGTTTGGTTATTAGAGTATTTTGGTTTTGAGAACTCCCAAATTTGAGGTGTAAACACAGTCTACTATTTGGAAAAAGTTACGTTAAATAGGGCCCTGTAGCTACAGCATGTTGTCCTCCAAAAATAGAAGATAGTAGTGCTCCATCAGCTATTAGCAAAGGCAATTAGAGAACCCTTCGTTTCAACAGTATAATTTACGATGTATGAGTAGAAACTACTTTCGTGTATTTGCCACGCCATGAGGCTAAGAATGATGATGTAAACTTCTTTGAAATAATGCAATAATGAGCACCAAATGTCGGGTGAAAAAAATGATCAAGCCCGCAGGCAGGAGTTCATATAATAGTACGTATTGGCAGGCAGGTTTGGTGAAACGTTTCTTTCTGTCCTCATGGAACATGGTCGATTCACTAATAGTAGTACTACAAATATCAGAATTTTAGTAGCCAATCCCCATGGAGGAAGAAACTTAATTAACTTGGTAATTGGAGGCAGAACAAGTGATGGTCGGTCCCCGCTCCCCCTCCCCCCGTAGTCCCAAAATCCAAAATTGGCTAAACTCATTTCCACGATCAATTGATCACTGGCAAAAATTTAAGGATCGGAGCATCTTGTGACTCGTAAAATCTAGTCCTTTGGCACTTAAGAATCTTTGATGCAATTGCAAACATACCCTTTAGAGCAGTGTTTTCAAGAGGTAAGAGTTTCATCAATTTTACAAGTGTAGCTAACAGTGTAAATTTCGAGGCCACAAAAAAAAAAATTTAAAAAAAAAAGAAAAAGAAATTGGAACTCTAGAACAAACTCATGCAGACACCAATCCATTACCTTGACTTGTCGCATCGGAATGAGCGAAGTAACACGCTAGAAAACATAGTTGAAGATGGCTAGATCAGTGTGGGCAAGTTGTGAACTGAACCCAGAGAGTCTTTGGGGAGGGGGGGGGGGGATAAATTTATAGCAACTCTGAGGGCACTGAGGAAAGGTGAATAAATATTTTACTAGTATTTATAGAGTTTGGAGTGGAACTAATGCATATGGCTCTCCATGAAAAGACAACAGGAAGGTGCTGTACTTTATTAGTAGTGTATTTGTTCATTAATATGTAAGTTGAATTATTTGAACACTAAGAAGGTTCTGATAATCTGAAGCCCGATCACTTGTAAATCAAGATAAAAGATGTTCAATATATATATATATATATATATAAACCTGCAGGAGTACTTGAGATGGGTACCAGCCAAACTTGGAGAACTCGGATGATCAGGCTTAAGCTGGGTTATGGTGAGTATCTCTTCGGTCCTCCTAAATCGACAAGTGGAGTATTAATTTTCATTTAAGGCCAGGCATTGAAATGCTAACATGCTGCAAGCGAGCATCCCCTGAAACACGCACTACTATATTTGACAAGTTCAACAAGTTAAAGAAACACTTCGACGATTCACCCTCTCCAATCGGGTTCAAACCTCACCAGCAGCGAAAAAAATCTAAGGATTGTGCCATAGCACTCCCTTGGTCTAGTTGGGTCTGTATACCCACTAGTCCTTACAACAGCCTCCTTAGGCTCCCCCTCCCCCCTAGATTAGGATAGAGTAGGTTATACACATGTATCGTTGCTGACAAAAAAAAAGATTCACCCTCTCCAATCACATCCCTCAGTTTTCGCAATGTGTCCCCTAGCAACAGGATCTACCATTTTTTTTTTGTTGATAAAAGAAAAGTCTGAGTGAGTCCAGTTTCGATTGCCATTATAATTAAGGAAATACATATTCTTGAAATCATCGGCAACCAACTAGCCAAGTACTATTTGCAAAGAACATAAAATTGAGTGCGATTGTCCGTCACCTTTTGCAAAATGAAACCATTTTTCCTTATTATATCTTTTTTTTTCACCCTTATAATATCAACTATCAAGGATGATAGTTTCTACACAATTAACTTCAATTGCACTTGCATTTGTCGTGCCATAAATGAGATTTGTGCTGATAAAAATATAAAACACGGTCTATTATATTTGCATCAACCAAAAACTTTCTAAAGTGCTCAAGCTAATGAGATTCATTGCAATTACGGAGTCTCGTTATTGTTTTTTGAGTTTTTCACGTGATTCATATACACCGTGCCGGGGCCTAATCTTAAAAAGACAGCGTGACTTAGTCACCAGCAGGAATCTTGAGGCAATAAAACGAGAGAATACGTCCACACGCGTGAATATGGTACCCGCCCAACAATGAGACACTGAGATGGTCATGGACCTCCCCCAGTACCCGTATCACGTTTTGGAAGGCCCTTTTGGATCTGAATGGGTTAAGAGGCGGGCCTTGGACAGAAGGAACATCTTTTTGAGTTAGATTGAAGCCCTACGGGATGGATGTGAACTCTCAACGCGTTGCGTGGCCACTAGGCAGCTCCTAGGCCTACGTGGGCTTATTTGTGAAGAAATCCTCAACAGTTAGTCTTCGTCGTGTAATGGTCCAATAATTTGCAAAATCTTGCAAAGCCACTAGTGCCAGTTGAGTCACAATAATTAAAAAAAAAAAAAAAAAAGGGCAAAAGTGAATCTAGAAGTGCAACTCATCTGGCGGAGAAGAGCTGGAACCTGCAAGCTGGTGCTGCGAAGTTTGAAGAGCCACCATTAGCTGTGGAGATAACTGGAGCGGGTACAATGGGCTGTTGTAGGCCCTCCACAGCAGGCGAAGGCGGAAAATAATGCAACAATTATGTCTGGGGACTTTCGGTAGCATTTATTTACAAGGAAAAGAGCAAAATCATTCGCAATGTCCCTCCATATTTTGTTCATCGTTCATCTTTAAAATGATAATTTTATCACCCTTATGTAATTAAATCGATAAAATTTGATCACTTTTTAGTATAAAATCACCATGTGACCTATATACAGTCATTTTTTACGTACAAAAATATTAGATTTCACTTTTTTAGTAACAAAAACGAATATAGATTGGGTCGAATCTTATTTTTTTAGGAAAAGAATAAATAGGTTTCAAGACTAAAAAATTTATTTTACAAAATATAAAGGACATTTTAAACAACCTTCTCGAGAAAAAGTGTAGGAAAGTTAGCTATTTTTTTTTTCTTTTGTGTATATTTGTTAAGTTAGAAAATACTGCTGCATTTTTCCTCACTTTCTTGCATGTTGTGTGCCGCAAAATTGCACAAGTTTGGAGGAAAAATGCAAGGGTTGCATATCTTGAACATACTAGCTTCTTTTATTTTTCTATTTTTCTTTTTACGAAGTTTTCCTCCCCATTTTTTTTCATGATATTTTCTTAGACTGCAACAGCAACACGGCACCATGTTCAGATCTCATGACTAAAGCCATCCAACAAAGAGATGCCACCGATGTGGTGGGGTCCAGCTTCCTGTTCGACTTGACCCTTGAGAACCAACCAACCAACCGTCAGCATTTCAACTGGAAAAAAAAAAAAAAAATTCCAGAAACACCGACTACTACAATTTTTATACTCCACCTCAACGTGGTGAGGCCCACGGGAATTAAAGTGTTGCCAAAATATCTAAATGCCTTGCCAAAAATATCTTGCACCGGGTCAGGCTCAGGGCCACTCCAACTAATTGAAGAAAACATCTTCTTCAAAGAAATACGTGGTTCCTGCTCTTTCTTCTTTTCTTCTCATCAGAAAAGACCGAAGAAGAAAAATGGAGTGTTGCACGAGGCCGAACCGCAGCGATGTTCATGTGTCAAAGGAGGAAGAGGCAAAGCTGGAGGAGTCCACCAGAGATTACTTTGATGCTATGGCTCCAAAGCGCCATACCAAGCCTCAGCGCAGCGACTATTCTAAAACTTACACCGATTCTTGTTCTGATGATGTTATTCCTGAGCACGTTCGATTTCAACTTCTTGAAAATGATCCTCAGGTTACTTTCTTCATCATCAAAACCCACCTAGTAATCTATCTGTAATTTGATCTTATTACTTAGTTCTTGTAACTTGTTAAGACTTGTTCTCAAGAAGTTTTGAGCTAGTTTCTTTTTTCTGTCCTGTCCAATTGTTGCAGAAACTGGGGCGCACCAGTGGAAGCCAAGCAACTGAGGAGTTCGTTGAAACAGAGTATTATAAAGATCTCAACTGCATCGACAAGCAACATCACACGGTAGTAGCGTGATTTGATTCCATTGCATCTCTACATTATTTTGGTTACCTCAACTGGTCGAATAGTAACAAGATCAGAAACAAAAAAAGCCAGCATTCGAGTATATATATATATATAAAAAAAGATTTTCTTCTTTTCTTTCTTGATAGAAAAATTAGTGATGTTCCCCTAATCATCCAAATGAAACATGAATAATCCTCTGCTCTTGAAAATGAAATTGCAGACGGGAACTGGATTCATTGCTATAGAGAGCATGAAAGGCAAATCCTTCAGCTTAGAACCAGATTCTGCAACAGATTACCATGGCTCCTGCAAGGGAAATCCAGCGACTAATGAATGGATTCCAGCAGCTGCTGATGAGGTCGTAACTACTTTCATTTTGAATAAGCTTCTTTTAAACTATATCCATTTTCCGTTTGGTATTCCAGATAAGATGTCGTCTGATTTCACTTTCGTTGATTGCCGGTTTCAGGCTGGTTTCGTCTCCGACAAACCCAAGAGGAGTGACAACTGAAGGGGAATGATAGATCATTGAAGACCTGTTCCTGAACATGATCCTTTCGTTGGAGATATTTCTCATATTATGCTATTGTTGAATTCCTGACGAAATAAATGCAATCTTTCCAGTGATGGATGTTCTTGTGCTCCTGGTCGTCGATCCGCTTAATTTTCTTCACCATTTTATCATATACATATCAAAGCGATTAGTTAAGCTTGATAATTCTCAATAAGTTCATCCTAACAAGTAGATCACGAATACTAAAAAATCTCAAACTCTAACTAAAAAAATCAGCCAATTCATGGTGATGACTAGTGTACAACAAGAGTCCATTTACATGTATTGGTGATTGGCACAAATCAAGGCCTTTCGACTTCAACAAGGTTACAACCCTGTGACGTACAAGCTAGCAGCAAAGACAATGTCGCGCTTTATGGCATTCGAAGCAGTTTCCATTTTCTTGTAAAGGGCAGAATTACCCATGATCGCAGCAGCATTTTTAAATTCACGGCATGTCTCATCCAATCTAACTATGGTCCTGACTATCAAACCTTCAGGAACATCAGTGAGTTCACAAATATCAGCAAATGGAGTGCCCTGGCAAAAGAAAAGCAGATCACATTCAGAAGTTTCTGAGAGGAGATGCAAGAGACTAATTAACGAGAATGGTTTAAACAGGCATGTAAAGAAGAATTAGGGCAGAGTGCATGCCCCAACCCTCCCCTCCTTAAAAAAAAAGGAAGGGGGGGGGGGGAGAGAGAGAGAGAAACAGACATAGACGACCTTTGCCCATTCGTAAACCACTTCAACGAGACCAAACTTGAGATTCTCCCGAGCATACTCTTCCGGATCGATCTGTATTTTGAAGCTTGCTTGAAGTTGACCTAGCCTTATTGCTGTATCGTACAATCTGGGTTCCAGGGAAATGAAATGAACATACAAGTCAAGTAAAAATGAGACTAGAAAGTCTTTCTACTGGAGACAACTACATCAACAAGGTTACAGTAAGGTTTGGGAAAAAGCAAAACTGCAAAACCAATACATAATTATATAAATCAATTTAGACCCCAAATAACAAAAAAAGAAAAAAAATAAGAGGAAGACGATGATGAAGGGAAAGAATTGACATATCTTTCATTTCTACAACGCCTCAGCATTAGGTGGACCACAAATCTCAACAAGCAAAGTTCGAGAGCAAAAGGAAGAACATTTCAAGAAATAACCCCCACAAATGAATTCCTGCAATTAGCAACTTGGCTGAACTTTGAAACTTTTTATACTGAGACATCAACTTATTTCAAGACATTATGGCATGGTAGAAAGTCACAGTTTTTTTGTTTTTTCATTGGCAGAATGTTAATTAACCAAAATCTTGTTATCCTCCGGAAAAAAGTATTTATGGAAAAGGGATCACAATTAGTATATGCAAATCTTAAGAAACCCCTTAACCATTCAGCAAAATCCTTGTTGACCAGATCATCAAACTCCAAGCATTTTACTTAAGGTCCCTAGTTCGACTTTCACGCCCTCCTCTTTCGCATTTATAAGCTTAGAGTCTCCCCTTGAACCAAAAAATAAAAATAAAAATAATAAAAGCAAAAATGCATTTTGAAACCATACAAGAGCAAAACCCCTGCACCAACTATAAGAACAAGTTCCTGAGAATACTCCAAGCTCATTTGATAAAAATTACATGGACACATTAAAAAGCTTTGGATACTATATCGTGCTAGTTTCTGCACAGATCCAAAGAACTCCGTTTTCTTCATAATCTACCCAAAATAGCATCCACGTAAAAAAAGAAATGAGATACTAGAAGTGTTACGAACAAATCCTGGTGGTGGTGGGTTGGCCCGGGGGAGGAGGATGAGAGTTTAAAATGTTACCTCTTACAAGCCAGAGAAAGCTTTGGTGTAAGAGAAGGTTCAGAGGTATTTTTCTGCTGAAAGACAAAGGCAGACATAATTGCCACAGCTTCTTCTGGTTCCAAGTCATCGAACTGATTCTCAAACAAGCACTCAGTGCATATTAATTCCTCCCCAGAATTCATTTCACAAGCAACACGGCCTTTTATTTGAACCACAAGGTCAGCATCTACACAACCGATTTCCTTCAAAACATCAATCTGCAAAGACATGCATTATTTGTAACAGGCTAATCCAATTCTAAGATCATGCATGCCAAATCCGCATTTTGCAATGGAAAACATCACATACCCGACCCTGAAAATCAGGCATTTGCTGCAGTGCTTCATCTGACATTTCGAACTTCAAGGTATTGACTTCCTCTCTGTGCCGCTTCAATTCACGGGCTAACTTAATATGCTCCTCCAATTTGACACATCCGTGGCATTTATTTTGTGCCATCTTTTGCAACAAAATGTTCAATTTATGATAGGCTTTAACAACATCTAGGTCTTTCAGCTTCAGATCTGTTACACAATCCCATCAGATGCAAAGCTAGGGGAGAATAAGAGAGCCTAGAAAGAAAGCAGATTATTTTTTAAAAAATAAGAGCATAGCAAGATTGGTGCACATTTCTCAGATTTTTCACACTTGTTATGGATTTAAACATCAAATCTTCTAATTTCCAACTGAAAGAAGACAACACAAGTTAACGAGGCGATAAAAACTGATTCTATTTATCATCTGTGCCAGAATGTTAAATGCACATCAATTTCCACCCTCAGCACCCTAATGCTAACAGCCAACAGATCATGAAAACCATAACTCACAGAGAGTAGATTTGAGGCCAATTAACTTCCTTCAACATACTTGCATATGAGTCAGCCTAAGTCTGAAGCTGGCAGAAGCCACTTTGTCAAAAGTGTCTAGCACTAAATTGCAAGATGACAATCTTATAAAACTAGCAGATACTCCAAGGCAACATACCTGTCCATTGTTCCAGGGGATTTACATGTCCTAATCATCTGTAGATGATGTGCATCACTGACAAAACAACTTAATTTTTTAAATACTCTTCAGTTCTATCAAGTACTAAACCAGTTACTGGTATTATACTACTCAAACCACTATTTAGCAACTGGAAGTGACCTACAGAATTTTCCTGGAGGAAACCAAATCCATTCATATGATAATCTTAGACTTGCAAAAGCATTCCCAGGCAGTCACGTGATGGTTATATGTTTTTTTACCTTATAATTCTAGTTTGGGCAAACAAATATAATAGAGAATAACTATCTGTGAGGATTTATTATTGTCAACAAGAATGATATATCCACACCCCCCAGAAATAGCAGTTGCACATAGATCTTGTACTCCACAAGCATTTTTCTTTCAATAACCAAACAGGTGAGACCAATGATAAATGACAACCAAAGTCCAATTAGAGGGTACTGGTGACCATAAGCTTAAACAGTTCACTTACAAACCTTTGACTGGATCTAGAGGTGGAGGGTACTTATTTCCATCAGATTTCAATAACAGCAGCTGCTGTACAGTATTCGAGTAGGCTCCAGCACTGACATCTTCCAGAAGTCGAACTTGATCAATCTTTATTTTGCAGTTGCATATTGAAAGGAACTCTTTGTTATCAATTCCTCGAACTTCATAATTCATCCCAGCAGCAGTACCACGATGAGGTAATTTAATGTTGACAACACCTGAACCTCTCCGAGAAGTGACTGAAGAATAATAATCATCCTCCAGACCACGTTTTGACTTAGGTATCAATATCTGTAAACCAGCACCTTTATCATCCTTCAAGTTGCTACTATCTGATGGGTTTTGCAATGTCAAAGGCAATTCAGGCATCAGCACAAAAACTATGTACTGCTTATTGTTAGAAGAAGGTGCTTTCACAACAACGCCTAGCAAGTGATCCTGGGCCTGCCAGATGCCAATGGAATGGAAAAATGTCAGCAAATTTTGGAATGCTGCCACACTCATGTGATCCAACTAATGTTACCCCATGAGTTAAAGATCTATTAAACTCGGCCAAAAATCATTGTTCCATTAGAAAAAGCAAATGACCTGTATCTGTCTCATTATAGCTAAGCAACTTTAAGCTACTAATGAATAACAAATTTTGTCAAGGCAATCCGGAAAGACAACCAAAGATTTGACTAAAACCTGATTTCAAGCATCTATCAAAAAGGTAAAACAATCAAGTCCAAGAATCTAGTAACTACCAGTGATGAGGCATAAGTGGTCCTGGGCATTGAGTCCTTAGGACTTGAAACTCATGCACGGCAACAGATTGAATAACATCCAAAAAAAAAATTACCTTTCTAACAAGGAACTATGAAGACAATCAACAAATAGAAAGGAGGAACAAAATTCTAAAGGATAACAGAGAAGGATACAAGTAGTAATTTTCACCATGGTGAAGGTAAGAACTAGGAATGTGAACTTACTGACTCTGATTTTACAACCACCACTCTTCCAGGACTAAGATAATGCTGGGAGCCAGGGGACTGCATGACTGCCTCCACTATCTTGGTGCTATGTGTGTCAGCTTCTGAGGACATCTCATAGTACTCCTCTATTGCTGGTTCACCCTTTATGCATCTAAATGCAACACAGAAGTTTATTTAAACCCTATATAAAGTGGCACAAGTGATCCACTTGCAAGGAAGGTACACACACGTGATCATAGTCTTTAATTTGCTCACAACAGAAAGGGGGGTGGGGAGGATAGCATTAATAATGCATATAAATGGTATTTACAACGAAAACTAAGATAGGCACAACCACATTATTTTCCTGGCAAGGGTTGGCAATGAAACAAATGCATGCAAAAGAATATCTAAATAGCCCTAGTTGCAAAATTTCTACCATGATACTCTTCGCTGTGTCCTTACTCAATAGTTTTTGTTTGCTGGGCAAGCTTTCGCATTAGAAGTTGCTGTTTCTCGGGAAGTTTTTTCTGAGCATGGAATTCAGCAAAACTTCTTTTTAGCATATCCTCCACCTGCAATTTTTCGAAACAGATAAGCAAATTTAACCTATAACCACTACTGAGAAATAAAGCCATCACCCAATATCCCAAACTACTAACCAAAAAGCTCAATCCATGTACCCAATAATGTACCATTCCAGAAAAAATCAAGCTGATGGACATAAAATGTTGGCTTTAGATGGAGGTCCATTTTAGAGCTAACAGTGAGATATTATCAACCTATCATGTAAAATTTGCCAACTGTTAAAGAATGTAACCTACATATCTCCTAGATCTTGATATTCTGCCAATGATGTACAGGACCGACCACAGCACAAACCAATTCTATTAACATTGCCCTAACAATCTACTCATAAAAGAGAAACTTAAAATTTAGGCTAAAGCTAAAATTTCCCTGCAGTGTCATTTGGGCAATGGCTAAAATTTTTCTGGACATGTCATTCAGTTTGCATAAACTTTGAAGCTATTCGCTCAATTGTACAGGAATTAGAAGTTAAGCTCTGCTGCTGAGATAGTTGACTAGGAGGAAATCATGAACACAATTGGCAAATAATTGCAAAATATCACACAAGGGGAAAATATGAAAAGAAAATTTGCCAATTGAAAGTGTACTGGCTAACATTGCAATACTAGGGATTCCTATTTTCTATTATGACAGATCTTTATGTATTTGTATGTGTCAACAAGAAACTGGTTAAAGCAGCAACTTCAGTGAGGACACATCTATTACTAATAACCTTGATTAAGTAATATGTTATATACCTTCAGTTCTTCAACACGGAGGAGATGCAGGATCATGATATAGGTCAGTCGAAATTGAGATTCAAGCCTAGTTGGCCTACCAACTATCACAGGCTTTAGATCTCTCTCATCGGGGATTTCATCACGACACATGACAATAACTGTACCAGTCTCATCCAGTCCTCTCCTCCCAGCACGACCAGCCATCTGAGTATACTCTCCCGAGAGTAACTGTCTAAATTCCTTGCCATCAAACTTCCTTAAAGTATCAAACACCACCTGCCAAATAGGTAATGTACATGGTCAATGATCCACAAACAGGGTTGGTAAATGCACACACAGAGTAAAGTAAGAAGAGAGACTGTTTCACAAATCCATACTAATTGGAAGAGTAGTAGATCCTACAGATCGAATCCTTAAGAATGAACTCTACCAAGGTAAGAAAAAAGAGCGCCAAACTAAATCCGTATTTTAATGGCCATTGATTTGGTTACATCCCAAACTAATCAAGCCACCCTCCTATCAAACCCACAGTTCAAATGTTGTGGATCCAAAATCCTTGTCATGGCACTGGGCAACAATCATTTATCACAAACAATCTTTAAAACAAATTAAACCTGGATTTGAGTTTGGATACATAGTTAGATTTAAGGGTAACATCAGCAATAAAAAATTACCACAATTTTTTAGGGAGACAGTAAGTGCGAGATTTACAGAACACAATTCAACAGAAAAAGCTTGGAAGTATTATGCAATTAGAAACCCACCATGTACTAACGCATAAGTAATTACCTTTGAAGCATGGGTGACAAATGAACAGAAAATTACAGAGTTGACTTAGAACCAATGCTTGGCTATGTTACCATGAATAACCTGCTACCAGACGTGTAATTTACTTCTATGGGAAGTGTGGAAGCAAATTCTCTAAAGCTATTGACTTACAGATCAAAACTGCTTCTCAAACAACAATAACATGCAAATAAAAACATGAACATCAGAAAGGTAGAAGTAAAGACAAGAACTATACAAACTTTAAGGGTCAATTAATGGTACAACAAACCAGCACACTTTAAAATGCAGTCAAATGAAAAATCTCAGGAAGATAAATGTAATTTTACCAATAGCAGGAATGGATGTTCACTTACTGTCCTTGCAGGGGCATTCACTCCCATTGCAAATGTCTCAGTTGAGAATAAAACCTGTGGAAAGAAAATAGTTTATCCAAATGACACCCCAACCCTGCCTGAGAAATAAACAGCGAGCAGTGACGCCAAAAACAACAATTTCATAATTAACCTAAACCACCATCAAAGATTTCAGCAATCTGTAAGCTTTCAAGAATTTCATCATCACTTGGGCATCATTCTGTTATTACGATCCCTCCCACCATACTGATAAGTAATCAAAGGTAAATGATTGTCCAAGAAGATTTCTTGTTCTACTTTTGCTCATCTACATCCTAATTTCACTCGAGGCAAAATGCTCCCAAGTTCATATCAATAACTACTTTATCTGGATTTTCAAATCTTTAAACATTTAAACAATAAAAGAATTGGAAATTTTGATAAATGTTTGACAATCCTTTTCTTTGTGCTTTGCACATATTAATAGTTCACAAACTAATCAATACTTCTTGCATTGTCTTCTCAATATGCAGCACTTCTTATTTCTTTTAACAGTTACCAAATAACTTCAAAAAATTATATTTTATATCTTCAAAATCGCCTAGAACCAATTTGTAGATCTTGATCTGTCAACCAATGTCTTTAGTATCCCTGCCAATTTTCTGGTAGGACACCAGTGTCCATAGTTGATCATCTAAGTTGGCCTAATTTCTGGGATCAAGCATTGAATAACATGCATGCAAGCAAACCACTGGTAAAGAAACTATGCTTCTACAAGTAAACTACTTACCTTGACCAAACCACGACAGAAAAGCATTTCAACTACTTCCTTGACAATTGGAAGCAGTCCAGCATGATGCACACCAATGCCCCGGTGAAGAAGGCTTTGAACTCTGACAATCTGTATCACTAAAAGAAGTTTTTGAACTCTGGAAAATCTGTTAATAACACGTTGGATATACAGGTAAAAGGTTTCCAATTATACAGCACCTGTGGTAGGTTCCTATCGGACCCCTTTAGCCGTGAAAATGCTTTATCACAGAAGATCCGAATCTCACTTTTCTCCGAACTAGTTGTAAGGTCAGTTGTGGTCATACTATCAGCTGATTTATCACACCGATTCTTTGAGAAACAAAACATAACCACCTGAGCAGATGAATTGAGGTAAAAAGAAAAAAAAACTCAATTAGCAGTTATGCTCAAATTTAGCCTGACCACTACTGCAAACTATACAAGAGAAAAGTTGAATTTATTTGATCGCATGCATTTAAAATCAGCATGTGATAATGAGACTTTCTTACTGACTAGAAAAGAAATTATCTGGAATATTCTAATTAAAATTGATTCTTCTCTACTTGCACTATGTGACACCAACAGCATATAAGTTCCTTATAATCAAAGATATACTCCAAATTCTATATAAAATCCAAATATGCACACATACAGGTAACAAGGATTTCTTTGACAGCTTGTTAATCAGCGATAGCCACATTGTAGCCTCTGATCTCCTCAACCCTGTATTAGGGCCAAGGCCATTGTTCTGGTTTCCCCAGACAGCCCGAGAGTTCCCTAAGTTCTGGGATCCAGAATGCCTGGTCTGTTTTCCCTGATGAGAACTTTCATGCCTGTGAGCTCGAGCCCTATCATTGGATGGAGAAGACCCAGGATAAGATCCAGCTCCACCAGCAACAGCACTTGTGGTCTTCCTCTTACTAGCATCTTTGGCAGCTTTCAGTCCTTTAGGCACAAACTCTTCGTTTTCACAGACTTTGTAAAGCTCTCCAGAATAAAAGAGGTGGTGCTCCAAAGGGACAGGTCTCTTTGTTGTCCTGATAAACAAAAAAAGTCCCATACAGTAACTTGAGAAAACTCTAACTACCAAGTATCTCAATCTGCTAACCTAAGGGGAGCACAGGGAATGAGAAAATGAATTTAACAATGATCAAGTTTGTATCATGTGTGACCCATTAAAGAAGAGATGCTACTAACCCAGTCACACGAATTTGCTTTTTCTTTGTCCGACCAATCCAATCAGCAAACTCAATTGTATTTGGTACCTAGAAAGCACAATTCAATACATAGACCACATTGAAGTGTGAAGAGCAGAAAAAAGGTTCAAGGAACATTCTACAGAGATAAAAACATAAAATCTCTTCTGAGAGATCTCAGTTGACAAAACTAAGCACCACGCAATGCACAATACTTAACAGAGAAGATCAATTAAGGCTTCTCATTGGAAACTGAGTGTTGTCAAAGCAGTTTCCAGAAAGAGCATTTTTTCACATGCCAAGGAGAAAGCTATCTAAGGCCAAACCATCAGCAGAATTTGACATACGCTTGCCATTTTTCCATTGAAGGATCAAAGTCGACAAAAGTTTTAGAAGAAGTCTGTAAAAGCTAAAAGTGGATCAAGAAGCAATCTTCCTATCTATCGTATATATTAAACAAAAATGAAAAATCCATGTGAATCAGAAATAAATATTGAAGAAAATCAAGCAACCTCAAGGAAAAATGTACAGTAATTGTTACTTAAGCTTACAGTTTTTCCACATTTATTCACCCTGTCTTCTTCTTTTGATAGGGTAGGTAGGGTGGTATATAAGATAGCAGAACATTAAAATGTTTATGTATCATGTACCATATAAGCTATCTTTTAAAATTTCTATTTGTTCAAACATATAAACATTCACCTTTATTTGAAAATAACACAATCTACTTAGCACTTGTATAACTTCAGAAACAAAGGATAAAATCACAGGCCTCACCTAACCTTTCATACAACATGATAAGAGTACTGGCATCTAAGCTTTCCAGGTGCAAAAATAAGAGGTAAAGATACAAAAGTAACAAACCAGTACATTTCCGAACCAAAATTTCCTCCTCAAAAGAAGTTATCAAAAATAGGAGCTCAGTTGTTGATTATATTGAAGCATTTGGAAAATTTTTCTAGCTTCTTTATAATGAAAAGCTGGAGATGTCAATACTATTCAAGAATTTTATCTTCCTTAAGAGGCTATTTACTGCATATCTAGGTTCTTTCTGGATCTCCGGAAATATGGCTGCATTGCAGTTCAGCAGATAAATTTGCTTCCATGGTAACAGGATCAAACCTAAGCAATATTGATAGCAAGTAGCAAACTTTTGATTGACACCATAAACTATCAACAGATAACTTCCTTCTGCAAAATTGCAGAAAAATAAATTGAACATAGACCTATTGAACCCGCAATCTTAATCTTAATGCACACTCCAAAAGTGCCCTGAAACAAGGCATTTAAATGCACAATTATTATAGAATCTAGCCAATACTAGTTTGAAATTTCATTTTACAGGGTTAAGGAGAGGTGAGCTACCTGTACCTCAATAAAAACCATTATAAACAACAGCTCATTTATTTTATTGATCACAACATAGCCAGGCACTAACAGTTTGAAATTCCATCCACATGGCAATGGAGAGCTGAGATACTTGTACCTCAATAGAAACCATCATAAGCAAGACACCTCATTTTATGCATCATAAGCCACAGCTCACATATAAATCTTCACCTATTCAACTCTACTTATCTACCACGCACTTGAACCTACTTTATAACGTACAGTATGAACAGCTGACAATATATTGACACATTTGTGCAGCAAGTTGACAATTTTGCAAGTGATGAACACAATAACATTAGGGATAGAGTTAGAAAACTCGTTCTTTTCTATAAAATTGTGTGAAATTATTAAGTGCAAATCAAAATTGACACCAAGACATACCGTGGCTGAGAGCAGGACAAAGTTAATATGCCTGGGGAGCATGATAATAACTTCTTCCCAAACAACACCTCTTTCAACATCGTTCACATAATGAACTTCATCAAATATTACCTATCCTTCCATTTCAATAACAACAAAGAAATAAACAATTGTCAGGAGAATAACTCGAAAGGAAGTAAAGCTTACAACAGCAAAGGAACACAAAACTCCAGACTTCCCATTTGTCTGGTATCTCGTTCCAGAAGAATATCTTCCAGTTCCATCTACAGAAATAGAAAAAGCCGCTACCCCATGACCTACTAATTTGAGAAGGTAGCAAAAGGTTCAGCTTTTCACCGTATGTCCATACTGTCCCTGGCTATAATCCTACAATGTGAAGCTGAAGTTATGAAACCATAATTTTCTCCAAATATCAAACCGTAGATTCTATGATACATAATGACATAGAAAATCAACAGCCACAGTTGATACCTGCAGGAGACAATCTTCAGGCAACCTATGAAACCCTAGGGAGCCTCATGGCATGTTTTTTCTGGTGGCAAACTTACACTCTGTTGGTGCAATTGTCACAATCGGAATATATTCAGCCAACATCACTGCTGAAAATTAAGAATGAAGCATCAAAAGATTTCAGTCAACCGTGAACCCACTTCGACTTAATTATATCAGAAATTACCGCCCAAGTGTGCTGTCTTACTAACCAAACAACCGCAGTCTATGTCACAAACTCCATTAGACAGGCTGATACAACAGAAGTATACATCTTACACTGGTTGCAATCACTCTACAAAGCCACTATCCTTCACAGTTGATGCTTTGGGAGAAAAGTTCATCACCAATTACCTATTTTTTTCCAGCAATCTGACTCTCCAAGTACAGGAATACAAAGCTCGGTGTCTGTTGCAGACATCCTTCTCAGGATTCCACAATTACTTCTGCCTTTGTACACTGTTCCTGTGGTTACTGTTGTCACTTGCAGCTCATTGTTTTTAGCTGACAGTGTACTCTAGATACTGCTAATTTAATTCCAATGTATGAAGATTAAATTAATTTTACTTGATGTGCAATACCACCAAGTGACCATTTGAAAGATTAGATTTCTTGTGCTATCCACAGGTCAGGTATGTGAGCTCACCAATTAAACAGAGTTAATAACAATAGATGAATTTGGCATTGTTTCTTCTGCTCTGAAGTTTGACCATGCATCAAACACAATAACACATACAGCAGATTCAAAATTCAAGTATATTTAACAACTAGATGCAAACTTGTAGGAAGATCTGTACATAAGCACAAAAGGCAACTAAAACTTAAAAGATTTAAATCTCCACCAGTTTCTTTCAAATTTCAAAATGAACGCTTATTGCTAACATGCAATTATAAATTTCATTATCTAAGTAGAAACATGTCCCTGATGTCAAAATAAAAGTTTCTGCATGTATTACATACATCCAGTGATCATAACATCACATTTTGCTTGCATGTTTACCAAACAGTGAATGTCGGCCTTCGGCAATAAGCTCTCCTGTTAATTTGTTCCTCACGATCACAAGCGTTCCAGAATAACCACCTTTTCGACCTAAAAGTGTCGAGACAATCTCCAATTCATCCTGAGAAAGTAAGATATTCAACTAATCAAGTTAAAAACCAACATTTGCCAATCAAACAATTTCACTTTTAGCCAATATGTGACGCACAAAACCGATTAGCCCCTGATCTGGTAATAACAAGAATACCCTCTCTTTTTTTCCCAATTTGCAATAAAAATACCAATATATTGGATCGATAGCCTTATCGAGTTATCAAACAATCCTGCTTAATAACGAAGAGATTTATTAACGCACAAATGAAAGTATTATTAACTAAAACCAGAATATCTGGATTACTCGTTCATTAACATGAACATTAGATATTCCAACATGGAAATTGAAATCATTTGAGGAGGGCTTACATCAAGTTTGGCAGTTGAGAGGTAAGAAATGGACATATCCACTGAAACATTCATGGGGAGTCCTTCCACGTGGACCAAAGCACCACCCATTTCATCCACTAGGTTGGCCACCGCCCCTGATGCCAAATTTCCATTCCTATCCTGAACGAAGACCCACAAAAAAAATAAATAAAATGACTGAAAAAGGTTCACAAATTTTAGTCAAAATTCAAATAGAAAATAAAATACCTACATAATCAGTTGAAACTACTCAAAGAACTCAGCTGTAATTTTGCTAATATCTCAAAATACAGGGAACTTTACTTACGATGAGGCGAGAAGGGACTTTGAAAGTGCAAGAAACGTAGCCAGCTTCGACTCGGTCGACTCGGATACCGCGAAGGGCGTAATACTCGTAGAAGCTAGAATCGAGATGGGGTCGGTGAGGAGGGAAGGTGAGTTGGGATACGCGGTCGGACTCTTCCTTGGCTAGCTGAAGAGATTCCCTGGCGTTCTCCATTTTGGGTCCTATCTGAGCTCTGGCAGGAGTATGGCATACGAGTCCATGATTGTCTTCAATATAACGCAATCACCCGATTTGCTAGTCAAGGCCGTCCGAAGGCGCCGTTTGGATTGAGGAAAATAAAACGAAATGAAGGGAATGGGCATCAGTGGGAAAAAAAAAAGGGTACAGGAAAGCCGTTTCTGGCTAATAAATGAAAGAAATTGTAAAGTTTTTGCTTAGATTAAGGAAGAAACGAAAAGAAAGAAAAACATCAACTGTTACCGAACACAAAACTATATCCCAACAAAATAATTAGACTATTTCCCTCCTCAGAAATCAACATAAATTAAAAAAAAGAAAAGAAAAAACTAATCCCCTCCAATTCCTTTCGTTTTCTTTCCCTCCCATTACCTCAATCGAGATTATGCCAAAGTTTACAAGGTTTCTAGAATTATAAAAAACGATGTTATAAAAACAGATTGACGGATTGCATCCTTCACGTGGTGTATTGCTAATTAATCATTTAATAGTGATTAGTCGTTGACAGACTATTGATATTAGTAATGTATATTGAACATCTAAAATTTTCCCTCTTATTCAATATTTTTATTTATTATTGGATTAACTTTTTATGTACTGACGGTTTAGTAAAATTTTTTTTACACCAACGAATATGAATGTATATCATATGTGCATTATTTGAATTTTAAAATTGAATTCATTAGCATTTGACATGTTTAAACCTACTAGTGTAAAAAAAAAATTGTACACCGATAATATACGAAAAACTTTTACTCTTTTATATTTTTCCGATTTGTTGGTTTTTCGACATTAGTTGACCCTATCATTGGACAACACAGTTTCTACGTTGTCTCTCCCACTCTTCTCTTTTCATCCCCAAATATCTTATCCATTTTTTTCCCATTCAACCGCTTAGCCAAGTAATTAAAAGTGCCAATTTTCTATGGGTCTGTCAAACAAGGGAGTAGGCATTGGTTAAGAGAGAATTTATTTGTTGATATTTTAATGTAACATAATAATTATTAGTATGTGTATTTATATATGATAAATTAAATATAATTTAAGTGTACTAACAAATGCTACATTAGAAAAATCCGTCTTTTATTTCTTTCCCTCTCTAGTGTTGTTAAGGTTGGTGTAAATAATATAATGGATGGGATGAATATCTGTGGTTTTTTTCCTAAGAAAAAAGCCAATATTATTGGCATCAATATTCCCCCTCCAACTCTTGACCGGTTTTAAAGTAGTACTACTTCTTTACCCATAAATTCTAGCTAAAGCTATCTTCCCACATTTCGTTGATGTGGACCAAAGGTTAAGTTGTCCTTAATATCAAATATTAATTAAAAGGATTAAAAGAGGGAAGGTAGAGACAGGTGAGTTGTTGGGTGGTATGCTGAGAACATTAATTACTCGTTGCGAAATGTTAGCCAAGCAATAAATCAAGGAGAAGTTTCTGTTTCCCAAAAAGAAAAGGAAAACATTAGTAAGACTAAACAGAGATGAATGTTATTTGCACTCTATTTTTTGTTATTTGCATTCTCATAATTTGTTTTATAATATAGTTTAATAAATGAAAACTATATGATAAAAATAATAGTGTAAATGTGATTATCAAAAATAAATCAAGGGAATTGATGTTTCGAACTCCCTATTTAGTTTCTTGCACTCCAAATCACTCACTAAAAATAGTCTTTAAAGAGTGCTAGAGGCTAATTAAGAAGTGCAAATATTACTTTTCTAAATCAAAGGTATGTACTATTTAAAATGTAGTTTAGGTGTTAAAATTTTGAAAAAATAAAATTAATTAGAATTATGCACAAAATGCAAGAGAGGATGATGATTATCGATGCTTATTCGCATAATTTGTTAAGTGTGATTTAAATGTATTACTCCCTCCGTCCCACTTTGATAGTCCTGTGTTCCTTTTTCATCTGTTCTAAATTGTAGTCAACTTTCCAATTGAAGAATGTAGTTGTATTTTAATTTTCCTAAAATACCCTTATTCAATGTAAGTTGTCGTTACTATAAACCTACCACATTTAATGAGAGTTGACTCTTTTTTACCATCAATTCAAGTTCTCATAAAATTGTACTCTATTTAATGTGATGATATTTTAGGAAAATAGCAATCTAAATTTACTTTTCCAACAAAGTTAACTACTTTTTCTTAAATTGTGTGAAAAAAGAAACAAGACTATTAAAGTGGGACGGAGAGAGTAATTAGTATTCAATAAACACTCATTAGAAAAATCTATAAAATCAATACTTAAAAAAAAAAAAAAAAAAATCAGTGTGCAAATCCCAAGCCCCAAAGGCAGCACAAGGGAACCCCGGATTGAGTGAGTGAGGGTTTATCGAAGGAAAGGCCCAGCGTCTGTCTGTTCACACTTAGTCATCCATTCGTCTTCGGATACCTTGTCTTGCAACTCTGCCATTTCGTTTTCTGCACTGTTACTTATCACAGTACCACTACTGTCACCACACCTCTTAATCTTGTTTTCTTCCATACTTCTTCACACCATTTCCGCCCCTGTTTGCAGCTCCACCTTCTAAAAAATGAACCCATTTCGGATCACCCATTTCCAAATCCAATGACTCGTAATAAACCCGAATTTCAAGCCCATCCACCTCGTACCCGCCGCCTTTCCTCATGTCACCTCCACCCGGCTGATCCGGCCACCGGCATTTGCGCTTCTTGCTTACGCGAGCGCCTCTGCGGCCTCGACTCTTCCGCTGACCTCCTCGAACCCTCTTTTTCTGCTGCAGTCATCCCGTCTCTCGGCAATGGCGACCTCGCCGGAGCTGGACCAGTTAATTGCCTGAACAAAGCTGCAGCCGCCACGTCGTCTCCGGAGTTGCGCCGTTGTAGGTCTGTTTTTACTGCTAAATGCGAAAGCTTCCACCAGCTTCGCCGAGCCCAGGCGCAGGTCCTGCGACGTTAGGGCTCGAAACGTGAAAAGTCTGGCCCATCTGTTTGATGTGGACGATGAATGTAGTAATGGATCTAACAGGGAGTCCAAGGTTGAATCCAAGAATATTACCACGGCTGCTGCTGCTGAGTTCGGAGAAGAAATTAAAGTAGAAAATGCAGGAGGAAACAGGGATCCCATGTTGCATTCAATGGGGACGAGGAGGAGGAGAAGGAGGATGATTTGGAAGAAGGAGAGGTCAAGACGATGAAAGAACACATAGATCTAGAACTGCAGAGCAAGGGCCAGAGGTCGAAAGATTTTAAGGAATTAGCTGGAAATATAAGGGAGGCAGCTTCTGTTTTCAGCAAGAAATTGCAAAAATGGAAGCAGAAGCAGAAGAAAAAGGTTCTTTATAGCAATGATGGAGGCACTGTTGATGGGATTAATTGTGAAGTAAATGGTCCAAAAGGGAAGAAATTGGAGGAAACTCAGTCTGTGGCTGCGGATTATGCAATGGGCAGGAGATCTTGTGATACAGAGCCTAGGTTTTCTGTTGATGCTGGGAGATTGTCTGTGGAGGGCGGGCGCTTTCGATTGATGAGCCGAGAGCTTCTTGGGATGGGTATTTGATCGCTAGGACTATTCCCAGGCTTGCTCCGATGTTGTCAGTTGTGGACAATGCGATTTTAAGTGGCGGAAATAGGATTGATCATCATAGAGCATCTGTTGACGGGCAAATGCATTCGATAATGGAAGATGAGACCAGTTCTGGAGGGTCAGCTCAGTCTAATTCGGATTCCTCGTCTTCTCAAAGGCGAAGTAGTTTTGATAGGTCAAGCTCTGTTAGGAGTTTTGGGAAGAAGATGGCGGTATTGGATGGGGATTATGCGAAGGCCTCTCCTGGAAGGCTGGTAATTACGGAGAGGGAATTGAAAGATTGGCATTTGAATTCGATCAAAGATGATCACAAGAAGAAATTTGAATCTTCTTCCAGGGAGAACTCTCCTGCTCTTGAAGATAGAAGTAATTTGGGTCAAGAAGCCTGTTAGGTGGCGAAGGGTGTTGAACGTGTTTGGTTTCAAGCAAAAGTCCTGTGAAAACAAGTTTGAAAAACCAATGGGGATTGTTCACCTGCTCAGGCTTGTGAGAAGCAAGAAAAGGAGGCTGGTGAAGAAATCAAAGCTGCCACTCATTGGAAGCTTATGAGGAGCAGTAGCATTGTTGGTGCAAGACGTTCTTGTGAGGTGATCAGGTCAAGTAATGGTATGATGAGTCTTGGTGATGATTCTGACTGGGCCAACAGGAGCCGGGAAGAATTTGTGCTGGGACGAAATCACAGAGCTACATATGCTTCAAGCAATTTGGATGATGGTGTTTTACCATTTTATTTGACACCCTTGAGGACTCCAGGAACGGGAAATCGAGAAGGGACAAGCTGCAAGACTCACATTTTGTTGATGGGAGTCTTTTACGGCTCAACTGAATATTAAAATTTCTGAGTGCGCATTGAGTTAATACTATGACTTTGTAAGGATTACTAGTTGTTTCTCTTCTTGTTTATGGGTGATAGCAAGGCAGGACCAGCATGTTGTAACTCTACTGTTTTTAGGCAGTATCCATGACATAATAATACGAGTTACAGCATTTTTGTGTCTTGGTTTTCCACATGTTTGTTCCTTTTCATTGTTGGGCTCTTATTATGCCTAAGAAATAGTGAAAGTTACCAGCAGCAATATGTGCTTTGATGACATTTGTTATTGTGTAAGAATTACTCGGTACTATAGATATCTAAAGTGCTCTTATCAGCAGCCTCCGATCCCCAATTATGGTGGCGCAAATTTCCGGAGAAGTGCAGGTTCAGTGGCTTATTCAGCCCCCTACTATATTGCATCCCCCATACTAATGAAAATTTTGCTTTCGAGGACAAATTACAATAGGCATTTATACAGATGGATTAAAAAAATGTAGATCTAGTGGAGGCGCGAGACTCGACTCAAATAAAGATTCGCAATTTGCGCTTCTTGGCACCGGTTCTAATGAAAATCCAACTTGTTCTCCCCCATACTAATGAATGAGAGTCAGATATAGCTTTCGAAATTAAGCCTTTAAAATGGCACAATCGCCTTTCAGCTGAGACATCAAAACGCACAACAACAAACAAGTTGATAGATATGAATGAACTTTACATGCCTTCAAGAAAACTGAGTTTGGAAAACCTAGTCCTGCTTCAGCTATTATACTATCTACAAACAAAGGATGAACTCCACACACAAGGGCATGGGGTGTCATAAGATCAGAAAGTTGCTTATTGCAGCATCATCTTCGACCCATCAGGTATTTGGTCTTCACATATTTGGAAATACTTGAGGTAACATGATTGGCCTGGAGCCGCTTCTAGATCCCTTGGCAGGAGGAGTCTCTTCCGATTCATCATCTGTGTCAATCCTTGAAGAGCCCAACCTGGTTTGTTTAGCTATTCGCCGTAGAATATGTACATTTAAGTGTAATTTACTATTGTCTCTCTGCTTTGACAAGGTAAGTACTCAAGGGCGGAATTGATTAAACTCTGACCAAAAGATTTGGCATGTATTCTCACAACATCCTTGAACTTCTTCTGTTCTTCCAAAGTCCATAACTTGGAAACATCTTCTCCCATGCTTCAAATTTCCATTGCCAAAAGGCAGGCCCCAGATCAGATTGCAGCTGGATTTTCTTAGCATTGATGTGCTGTCTAACGCATTCAACAGATCCAGGGGATACACATGAACAAGACTTGGGTCTTCCTTTTCCGATCACATCTCCAGAGACTTCCAGGCTTCTGCCTTTAGTTGGCCATACCTTGATGCTTAACCACTTTGAACTGCGAGATTTCCTGTGCATGTTGTGCTGACCATTCTTGTGTAGGGAAACAGGCAAAGCTGGCAGATCAGCCTGAAAACGAGGTCCGACTGGAATTGCGAGTCTGAGACTATCATCACATATGTACTCTATCCAACCTTTAGGAACTGGATCGTTCTCCTTCTGGATATGGAGTTCCTTTGAGGGCTTCATTTCTTCGTCCTTCTGAAGACAATCAACAATGAGAAAAATGCTCCAAAGGGACTGGCAATCTCAAGTACTTTGTAGGTGTAGGTACACAAGCAAATAGATGCAAGATGCTTGATACTGCTAAGCACGTTCGTTAGTCTAGATAAAATAGGACAATGCACAAGATGACTCCAACGAATTGCTAATTTGAACTATAGAATTCATGAAAAGAATTGTGCAAGACTCAGTGCATTCATGCAATAAAAGACACATCAAGCACCATCACCTGTCATTATTTTTAACCAGTAAAGCAAGGGGAAGGAACCTGTTCAAGATGGAGAAGATGATATTAGCAAGCGAATAGCTTCTTCGGATTGCACGATTCCACTCTCCCAATACTGTGTGCTGGGGAGGCTGTAATGCTATTGATTAAAATTGATTTTATGTCATCGTAGGCCGCTAAATTGTACAGAAAAGAAATACTACTATCAGTTAGCAAATACTACATGCAGACAACAGTTTTCAAAAGCACCTCAAAGACACAGAGCTAGCGATTCAGCAAAATAGCTTTGCCTTCCACCAAAAGAAGGCGTTGCTTTGCATAAGCAATTGATTTTGGTGACGACAATTCATTGCTTCTCCTCCGAAAAAAAAAAGGAGAGAAAATAGTTCATTTATCTTACAACACAAAATTTCAAGAAGCCCACCAAGCTTGTACTCTGTTTATGGATTCCAGCCAATAAACGGAGGCCAACAAGATTCTAGCATGAGATTGAAATTATCTGTTACAAGAATATGCGGGGAAATAAATAAAATCAAATGAAATAAAAAAAAACCTCCATTTTGCTGGTAATTGCCGTTTACGTTTAGATGGTCGGAGCAATCTTCATTGAAAACAAGAGAAGCAAAAATTTTGCTGAATCGCTTAAGCTTCAATCTACCCATGCATGAATTGAATAACACATTTCTAGTGTTGCGAATTCTACACAACTTGAATTGAATTCGAGTTATCCATTTACCGGTGCACCGGGAATTAATATTCAAGAAAATTTCTGATATATGAAATTAAACCCTAACCCTGGATATCGGCTAAACAGAGCGTCCGAACCGATATTAGAGGAATTTAGGATTCAAGAAGGAATTGTATTGTTTCAATGATTTTTTTTTGGGCTGTCAGACTGCATATTTTTTTCATTTTGTTTTAAACGGATAAATAGTATTTAGCAAATTTCTTTATTCTTAGACCAGAAATATCCGCAAATATTTCAGCTAAAATCTCTAAAGAATATCCAAGGAAGAAAATTACCAACAAAAAAATGGTTACTAGGATTAACTAATTTTGAGTCATAGAAATTAATTTTTTAATTTATATCCAAAAAAATTGGGAATTTTTATTTGTAAAACTTAAATTCTTTTGGGAGAGGGAAATGGAATGCAAATTATGGTAAAATGATTGAAAGTATATAAAATACCTAAAAAAAACCAATAGATAAGCCTCTTCTAATGCTTTGATCTTCTTCGACAATTTTTAGTAAGAAACAATTGCCTGTCTTATGCCTCTGATTCTTGCTATTAAAGATGATACAACAACAAATAAATGAAGACAACTATAATGTGAAGGAAAAGGTGACAAATAGCTTTTGGAGAAAAGGAAATTGACTAGTATAGTACTTTTCCAAAGAGTCCCTATAAAGAATGGAGTTTGGGAACACACACCTATATTGTTATGGAGAGGTTGAACACTTAAAGATGCATGTTGCTCTTCTCAAGCATAGCCCTTGCAATATAACAAATGAGAGTTGTGGGAAGCTAGTTGACACAATATATAGGTGGCAAGTGAGGACTTGCATCATCCCTCAAAGCCAATCAACTCAATTCTCAGGCTTTAATAGTTCATTTGAATTACTAAATGAGATGGTAGCCCATTAAAGAAGGGCCTTTAGATTTACATAGATCCGATCTAGAGACCTACTTATAGACCGTGTAATTTAGAGAAATTCACCTATAAGAAGTGATTTAAAATCACGATATTTTAAATAATAGATGCAAATATAAAATTTCTAAAATCAAGAAGATGAGCTATCTTTAGTTTATGACTGTCGCTTAAATAGGACTTTCCAATCGAATAGCATATGGTCACATGATGTATGACAATGTAAGAAAAGTGATAGTAAATATTAAAGTCTGTCTAATGGGTGCTTATATCACTAATATTATTTTGAAAATTACATACATTATACAAATCAAAATTGTCATTGGATATAGGATTTTAAAATCTATAAATAAGATATCGATGTATATCCCTAAAATTTTAGGTAAGAGAGAAAATAATAGTAGGTTTTGGAGGTTAAGCAAGTAATATAATACAAAAATCCAATTGATTTTTTTTTATTATAAAAAGCAGACTTCATTAACAAATTATTGAAAATCGTCCAGCGTGATTTGATCTATATCTCTACCCTAATGGTAGGTTAAACATAAAAATTACAAATCTGCATTTTAACAAATGCAATAGATCCAAAAAAATTATGAACAAATCTAAAAAATAAAAGAAATTTCAAAATTGTCTCTAACAGATAAATCACTGTAGCTCCCTACTATTATTCCAATCACTGGTTTATTAATCAATGATTTTAAACTCTAATAATATGATGCGATCTGTCGAATTAGATCCAAAATTCCAAAAATATTTCAGATTTGACGACCAAATCTGAAGTAAATTAAGATCTAAAAATAAAAAAAAAGAAAAACACAAAAATCTCCATAGTAATCTATAGGAGAATAGAAAATTCTCACTTAGAATTTCTAGGAGAAATAGAAAAGCTTCATTAAAAAAAATTCAGGAAAGAGTTTATTAGAAAAACAAAACAAAACAAAATGAAATTCATGGGAAGGAGACCATCACGTGATCTCCCTCCCTAAGGGAATGTGTTTAAGAGAGGAGGGGAAATTGGGAAAAGTTGAAGAAGAGGAGAGGTAGAAAGAAAAGGGTTGATTTCTGATAAGATAAACAGGTTTGCAAAAATCCAATTGATGGTTGAGGATTGTATATAAAATTTCCAAACTAAGAAGATGGGGGAAGGTTAAGTTGGGTGGTAAAACGGAAAAGATTGTAAATATAAGGTTCTAAATTTTCCAACAAGAATTATTACCAAACAAGATGCCACTGCTCTTTAATTTATCATTACATTTCTACTCAGAAGATTTATTAGTTAATGAAATCAGCAGGCAGCGAAACAAGCATTAGACACCTTAAGCGAAATAAAAAAACCGGACACTCAGGTTCTTATTCCACATAACAAGTGTAACACACGTTCATTGTCAAAAACTAACCCATTGTACTTTTTATGATATGATGTATGTGAAATAAAAAGATAATTGAAAATTGTGTTAATGATACAAGTAGGATAATATTTGCAAATTTTTTTCCAAATTATATTGTCCAAACAAGACTATCACATTTAAGCTCCTTTAGATGTCAGCAAATGCCTAAGACAGGTATATCCGCTCAATTTCTTTGAGAACTATGCCCAAGTTTCAATTGCTTTTCCGTATCAAATCTCCAACTACTGTATAATTTGAGCATACTTTGCAAGGGACTATATTCTAGGCTCTCCCTTGTAAACATTTCTACACATATTTGACCTGTTACCACTAAGAACGTTCAACTTAACATGGAGCTGAGCAATCTGTCCAAAATAATTCCACATTTCTTCTATGTTTCTCTATTACAATTAAATTTTTATGTTGATTGAGAGATCTCAGAATCATACTATGCTGAGAAAAGTTGTTAACCTTCTTGATGCATAAACTAAAGCAGATATCTGCTCTAAAATGAAATTATGTAAGATATACTGCAAAAGGATTAAGTATACATACTTATAAGCTTCATCGACTCTTGCCTGAGCATCTATGTAGCTTGGAAAATCATAACCAACCAGGAAATAATCACCACGACCATAACCTGAGTTTCCCTCCAATGACTCGAGGAGTGGGTTGTAATCATAGCTTCCAAATGCTCCAGACCTAATAAATTGTTTTGCTTCTTCAAAGCGAGGATCTGGTTTGAACTGCACAGCAGATAAATATTAAACTAAAAGTTGGTTTCTTCTCGATATATTCTTAACATGATCTTAAGGAACCAAATTAGACGTACCATGACATGATGCTACTATAGTATCGTGTCTAAAGATTCAGAACCAAAGTGAGTTACATTCAGAGGTAAGCACTGAACGGTAGGAGAATATAATGGAAGAGATGATCTTGGAAACCAATTTTGAATTGACCAGGAAAAACAGACACTCAGGCAGGACATGTATTTCATGTGCTAGGATTTTTTTTTTTTTTTTACCAAGAAAAGAATGAAAAGATACTTTGTTCTTGATAGTCATTAAATAATCAGGCTTGGACCCTGTACGTTCATATTAGCTGTTCAGACCCTGTGGCCAATGAAATGGTCAAGACCTCATCATCTTTGTTTCTTTTATTTTTATTTTTATTTTTTCTTGGACCATTAATTGCAAAGAGAAACATTAAGAATGACAAAAATTAGCCCAGTGCTTTTCACAACATAATGCAAAGAGTTCTTCATTCTTTAGGACAAAGATATTTAGTAAGTTACCAAGCCATGCATCATCATATTTACAGACAGAATAAAGCTTCCCAATGCACAGAGAGAGAGAGAGAGAGAATTTTTTATCCTCAACCGAGGACCTAACAGTACCTGGAAACTGTAAAGCATTAATCTGGCTACAAATAAGGAAGAATTAGATACCAGACAGGAAATTGCTGCATCATACCAGTCCATTCTCTCTTTCTTTGCGCAACCGAGGGACTTCTTCTGCTCTTGCACCAAAAAGGAAAAAATTCTCTTCACCAATTTCCTCTCTGATTTCCACATTAGCACCATCTAGTGTTCCTATAATGAGGCATCCATTCAGTGCAAATTTCATGTTGCTTGTCCCACTTGCTTCCATGCCAGCTGTACTGATGTGTTGAGATAATTCACTTCCTGGGATAAGCATCTCTGCCACAGAGACGTTATAATTGGGGACAAAAACCACCTGAAACGAATGGTAAAAGAAGTCAGATTAGTTGAAGATGAAGTTTATAGCAAGCAAAAAATGGAAACAAAAAAGAAATATTATGTATAGAGTAAATCTTGAATATTCTTGAGCAACAAGAAGTTAATTTTTGGGAACCACTCCATTTCACCAATACTTCCCATAAACTTCTACCATGTTGTATTTTTCCCTAAGCATGACAATCCAGTGCTTTTTCCCCCATATTCTGAATGATTAATGAGAAGGTGTAAGTGACAAGAAGCAGCCCTGACAGCCAGATGCAGCAGTAGCAATCCACTAGTATATTAAAAAAAACCTAATAGATTCCAATCAAGTTCAAATGACAGTTTTAGCTATGAAAGTCAACAAGACATTCAAATTGTCAATAGTCAAAGTCTGAAAAAGAAATTCCAAGCATTGTTTTACTATCTTCAGTTCAATACATTAAAGCTGAGGCAATATCAACTGATCAAGGTACTCCTATTTATTCACGAGTACTTCACTGACAATGAGTATGTTTCTCCAAATTCTTCTTTTATATTCTTTTAACAGGTAAGGAGAATTTTAAGAAGGCATCCAACCAGAAAGGAACTTCCCTATAAGATATTCTAAAAATTCATAAAAGTAGTTAACAGAGTAAAATTGGAATAAAGGAAAGTGATAATGTGAGAGATGGTCAAGGCAAGTCACACAAGGCGAAAAGAATAGGTAGTGGTGAATGATTTCATCTCAACAATATTAGGTGCCACAGCTTGAACCAACTGTTGGACTAGAAATGGTATAAGAACTACATATCCATGAAAAAAGTCCAACTTAAAGTAAATCTGCACTGGAGATGTCTAATGAACTGTTTTACCTTCAAATAACTATTGACTTCAGGATCGCTGTTCACAACAGCACCAACATCATTTACTAGCTTAACAATTCTTTTGGCATTTGCGTATGTTGCAAATGCTTTTCCCCCAATCATGACAGTGCGTGGTGTAACCTTTTGCCGTTCTTCAGGGCTCATCTCCTGGAATAGATCAATTTCAAGAAATCATGGTGTATACTAACATGTGATGCACATAAAAAGTCAAAAGATTGCAATACACTGGAGCCACAATTCAATCATTTCTAGGTTGACTACGAAATCTCCATTGGTGTTGGATCACCATATATACTCTTGAAAGATATTTCATACAGGTATGATTCATTGTTTTGGAAGTGATGATACTTCCAGAAGAAAACGAGAATAGAGTCCAGAAGACAATGATAGTTAATACGTTACGGGTTAGTATTTTTAACAATTATGTAATAAACATTGTTAACATCATTTTTTCCATAATCGGATGAGATTCCAATGAACAAATAACAAAGAGCCAATAAGCAATGATAACCGTATGAAAGATCAACTTAAGGTCTTGATTTAGAAACCTTCAATTGCTAATAAATGTATTGCATATTGAAACACCTAAGGAGATTAGGAAGTCTACAATACCTTTATTTTCTTGTACCTATAGACTGTCCCCAAAATGTTTAGCAGCTGTCTTTTGTATTCATGAATGCGTTTAACTTGTATGTCAAAAAGGGTATTAGGATCAATGCTGACACTTGTCACTTGCATTATGTATTGCGCTAAACGTTGCTTGTTGGCCATCTTAGCTGATTCCCACTCAGCATACAGTTCTTCATTGTCAACAAACTATTTGAAGAGAAGGAAACAATATAGAAAAGAGTCAGTAAAAATGCCACTATGTCGAAGCAAGGTCTTTAATAATAAATAATTGCAAGTAAAAATGCCACCATGTCAAAGCAAGGTCTTTAATGGGAGAAAAAATGCCACTATGTCAAAGCAAGTTTCTTGACGTACCTGCCGAAGTTTGGTGAGGAGATCGAGGTTAGTCACCCATTTATCAGTTTTTAACCATTTGGTTATTATTTGACTAAGCTCAGGACTACAAAACCGAAGCCACCGGCGAGGAGTAATCCCATTAGTCTTGTTTTGGAATTTGGTAGGCCATATAGAGACATAATCAGCAAATAAGTCTGATTTTAAGATGTCACTGTGTAGTTGTGCAACACCATTCACCTGAGAGATATGGAAACTAAAGGTGAAAATCTTCTAGAACAGAAGAAATGAAAATTTAAGAGACTTATAAAAGAGTATAAAATAAGTAAAAGCCATGGAAGCAAATCAACAATGATAGGAGGAGATGACAGTGACAGACACAGATTATTGATGAATTCAGATTAGTTGTTGTCAGGGAAGTATAGCTCGGAATTTTACCAATAAGCTAGTAGTTAAAGTAAACCAGTAATTAGCGCACACTTTAGGTGTGTGCCTCTTATCATATCATTGTAATAAAATAAAAGACATATAGTAGAAGCCGATGCATTTCTCAAATTATCATGCTATCTAACTTCTGTGACCAACTATATAGGAGTTAGGTTCACCAATTAGAGAACACCATACTGAACTTAAACATTTACTCTCATCTTGACGAAAGTCACAAGGATAGTTATCAAGCTGAGGGTAAATTTTGCAAATCAAAAGTGATGCCAAAGTCTCTTCCCCCTTTATAAAGAGTCAGATTAAAAGCTGAAAACAAAAGAATAGTTGTTTAATTATTCCCTCAGGTATATTCGGGCCTTTGACATTTGGATATCACAAGATAATCGTTAAAGATAGGAGATGTGATATCCATTCCACTTAGACATGTTTCTTACCATATGGGAGGACACCACACACAAGTTAGCCATTCGTACAACTGGCTTTTGGGGGTTGTGGTCCAAGATTCGGATGCTGGAAAGTTTAGTCTCAAGGTCAGGTCTTGTTGACTGCACCGTTGCAATAAACTGCAAGGAGTTCAAGACTGCAAGTTATTTCAACATCAATCTAACAAGAAAGTAGCAATAAATGAAGGTGAGTGAACAGATTACCCTCTTATCAATTTCCTCAATAATTTCCATAAGGCGGGGAAGGAGCTTCCACATGACTGCCTGTGACCATTTCTCCAGAGCCTCAGGTAGGACTGTATGATTTGTATAGGCTATTGTCCTAAATTAAAATGGTTTATAACTCAAATCTGTGAATTTTCACAAACAGCTCCTTAAAAAGAACCAGAGAAAACAAGTTCCACAGAGTACTCAAAAATGATTTATGTGTGTGCTCATAATCAGAATGATGGTAGTGATTGTCGAAGGTTTTGGTTTATGATACACTTTTTAAAAGGTGAAGTTCAATATATTTTATCTAGTTGTTCAAATGCTTATCCATGATTGCTGGTTTAGTTTTTGCTTCTTCCTTTATTTCTTTTGTGGTACATGTTTGGCTCACTTTGCAGTCGATAGTTAGCTTCTGAATTGTCCCTTAAGCTTATTCATGATGACAGAGGCAACTAAGAAACTTGGATGGAACGAAGACAACTGAAATATGCAAAACCACCTTGTAGTAATATCCCAAGCATCATCCCATCCAAGTCCTTCCTCATCCATTAGTAATCGCATTAGCTCTGGAATTGCAAGAGTAGGATGTGTGTCATTAAGTTGCACAGCAACCTTTGTGGGAAATTCGGACCACTGGAGTACACCCTTTCCCACTTGTCTCTCCCTAAATCTGAACATGATGTCCTGAAACAGGATGAAATGAAATAAGTTCTTCACTAATCATAAAAAGAAACTTTGCTTAAAAAGAAACTGTCTCTCCTCAAAAAGAAACTTTGCTTGTTTGTTGCTGAAAGCCTAAAGCATTTTATTAGGTATTCCAGTCTCCTTTACGTGTAAATATCACAGAGTTTAGGCATGTTTACTGAATAGAGGTTTCACTGAACATAAAAAACTTAAGGTTTGGAATCATCAATATCCCAAGGCAAATATCCTTTTAACCTTTGACATGCACCGCTTCTAGACTGAACTGTATAGGCGCCCACCATGGAAAGAAAAGGAAAAGAGGAAAATACACCAAGGAATATGGCAAACCTGAAGTGAAGCACTGCAAAGGAAAAACTGTTGCTTAAGTCTTAACAATTTTCCACTTTCTGTAGCATCCCCAGGATAAAGAACAGCACATATCTGCAAATACATGACGTAAGGATGCCACAGAGAACCAACCGACAGAACAAATTAATATATAAACCAACAGAAAGTCTGAGATTGAATTTTGGAAGTCGAATCTGGATTTCCTTTAAGCGACCAGATGATTGGCAATTAAAGTCTTTGCTTGATCTGATAACTAACTTTATTAAGAGTACAAGGGTAAGCCAACCTGTTGAGCCCTAGCATGGAGCTGTGCAGCAGATTCATACTGCCCATCATTGAACTGAAACAAGTTGAAGTCCTCAGCACAGGCTTTGGCTTCCCAAAGGCGAAGACTGTTAGTATTCTTGGTCTTGTACCCTGGAATTGGTACATCATAGGCAACAGCTTGAATGACCTCTCCACCAACCCATTTGCGGCTACAAACCGGACAAAGAATTAAAAGAAATGATAAACCATATGAATAACACTATGAATGAGAACGAAAATCCAATCTGGAAGTTGTGCTATTGAACTTTTAGTCAACACATACAGAAGTTAAAGTTGCACATACAGAAGTTGCACTTACGAGCCAGTAGGAAGGACCTCAACGTGACCAAAAAATCTGATGGGGAATACAACATCATGCCTGACAATCTCCCATGGACTAAATTTCTGCATAAATTTGTACCAGATGAAACCCTATAGGAGTCCCACGACTAAAGAATGAGTATGACAGTAGAAAAAGACAAACCTCCAACCAATCTTCGGCAATTTCCTCCTGACCTCCTTTGCTGATCCGCTGCTTAAAAAGCCCATATCTGTACCTCAAACCATAACCCCAAGCTGGCAAGTTCAATGTCGCCATTGAGTCTAGAAAGCACGAAGCAAGTCTTCCTAAGCCACCATTTCCAAGTGCTGCATCTTTCTCCTACAATATACAATTTTAAGAATTGCATTGGAAATACATCATGCTAGGTTTAAGCCAATAACAAAAGTTAGAATGAAATAGACTTGTATCAACTTTAGTATTTAAAGAATGTTCACTGATCCAATTGGAAACGAAAAATAATTGTAAGAACACCTAAATAAATGGCTATGCAGCATTGCACACTGTCAGATCCCAACTGACGAAGTAAAGAGAATGTGAAAAGGTTCTTAAAGTGGAACTACCTGCTCAACGATTTCCTCTAGTTCATGACCCAATTTCTTCAAAGCATCAGAATAAGCATCTTGGATATCAAGGTTTCCAATTGCGTTAGTCAAAGCTCGCCCTTGCAGATACTCCATGGACAAATAGTATGTTTGCTTTGGGTTGACTTTGTGATAATGGAGGTACGTATCATTCCATTGCTGTGGGGGTAAACAACAAACAGTAAAAAGAAAAATTAGAGTGGGTGAAACTTGTGAAAAAAGTACAAAGCAGACTCTAGCATTAAGAACATGCACAACAATTTGCAAGCCACAAAAAGAACACTTTTACCAAGCAAAGCACTTGTATGATGAAATGGAACCAGATACACCAAGAGATGAGCTCAATGCATGAAGGTGTTCATTGAGTTTGAAAATGCAATTCTTTTCAAGTCATACACTAGCAAATGAACTCCGCAAAAATCTTTCCTTCTATACATGACTCCGTAACGAGTGCGGGTATGTACATCGCACAGGGCCGGCAAGTCCACTTCAAAGATGAATAGACAACGCAAATCAACCTTGGGCACATGCCACACATTCTGGAGAATAATCACTGCTATATCTACAACAAATTACAGAGCAGTATAGCAAATTTGCCACAAAAAGGAGCAAAATTGCTTACAAGCTTCCAAATAGACCGCATGAGCAAGTACATGCATAAGGTAGATAATTAACAACATTGGATATGCTAACAAAGCAAAGACGTCACCATCTTCAGTCGCTAGTCAAATCCAAACATACAATCAACAAATGATTCAACAAAGGCAAACCGAAAAAACAAAATTTACAACGGCAATTCAAATTCTATACCTTGATCAACCGATCACGAACACTATCAGCAGTGGCATAGAAAGCTTGCTCTGGCTCGAACTTGAAAGGGGAGAAATGAGGACTGTATTGAGCATGATAGATGATATTGGACGCAATCTCCGTAGCCTCTCCGGCCAGCGGCTGCGCAACCGCAGGTACTTCCGCTGGAATTCCTGATTTTATGGTTTCATTACCGCTTGATGTTGCCGGCACTTCCATATCTGGTCCTATTATCAGCAGAAACTTCTTCTATAGACCAAAAAAAAAAAAAATCAAAATCCAAACAATTGAATCGTACTCCCAGAATCAAGCCATAAGAATGAAAAATTAACTCCTACTGAGAAGAAAAATGCAGAAGTGAGATTCTGAAACACATTGTCCATGTGAATATTTCGTTAATTAATGAAAAAAACTGGTAAAATATCAATAACATGACATGATTACCTAATCTGTGTTGAGACTTGAGAACGGTGCTACTGCTGAAGAGGAAGCGAAATATGAGTGCCTGTTAAGTTTCAATAATATTTGAGTGAAGGTTCGGGAGATATTTTGGACAAAGTTCTAAAAAGAGAATGGGAGAGATGGTAGGGGTGCGGGCGGGGGAATATGCTACTATCATGCAACTCATCAATTTGGAGATATTAAAGGGAAATCTGACAAACAAACAAATGGAAATGCGAAAAAAGTACGGTCTCTTGTTTGTTTTCTAGTTAGGAAAGAAGAGAAAAAAAATATCTGGAAAAGTGCTTATGTGTGCGAGAGAGAAAGAGTGAGTTGCAGTTTGTATACTTTGCTTGCATCATCATCACCCCCGGCGTCGCATTCATGTCATATCGCACGGGAATCGGCGGAGGAGAAGAGAGTGATTGGACGGCTTCGGCGGCTGAAGAAGTGTGCTGGAGGCAACCGTTTTCTAGTGTTTTCGAGTGTGAATTTGCTGGGGCTCTAAATATCCAACACAGTCTAGTATAGTACCACTAGTAAACTTATCATCTTACAATTATGGGTTTGTTGGTACCTTGCTTGAGATAGCCAGACAACAAAAAAGAACGAGAGAAGAAGAAAGAGAATAAAAGAGCGGAATTGAGATGGGTGATGGGACAAGGCCACGTGTGGTTCATGCATAAAAAGTAAACTGGAAGGCGCTCTTCGCTCGCCTCGAGACTCCACAATACAACTGGATTCTCACGCATTCGTCGTGACACCGGGAGCAATCTAGAGCCAGACAGCCCCCCCCCCCCCCCCCCCCCCCCCTTTTTTTTGTGAAAATTACGCTTATAAGTGAATTCAAGTTTACTTTTAACCAGTAGGGATGATCATTTTCTCGAATCTCGCTGTGGATGTAAAAAATTTATGGATGAATAATTTATAAAAATAATCTATAATTTCAAGAGGCATACTTTGATTCGTAACAATGACTGAAGTCAAACTCATTCAAATTTTTTTTAAAAAAAAAAATTCAAATCTCTAAGCAGTCATGAGTAGTTCTTGATTTTTTTTCCTTGGATGAATAAAATCTGTAGTAATCAGTATCTGGAATCCCGTATAGGTCCTGCCAATCCCTTCTTATACCCCCCTCGACGACATTTGCTGAATGGTGAGTAGCAGCAGCAGTGTGAGCAATGCTTATGTCCTTGAATTCCTTTCTGATTTGCCACAATACCTCAGCACATCTCTTCATGGATGGTCTTGCCCGTCTTGAAGGGTCAAGGCATTGCCGAGCAAGTTTGAGTACCTTTTCAACAGCCTGGTTTGATGCTGGATTTCTTCGTAATCTTGGATCCATTACCACCGCAACTTCTCCGTCCTTTAATTTCCTCAGAGCCTGCAAGCAAACATCACCATGATATGATGGTTCTGAATCGCATGCAAATGATCTACTATGAAAATTGCAGAAGCCTATAATCAGGCAGAAAGCAGGTTACGTTTGTCCTGATCTATGAATTCACTTACCCATCTTACGGTTACCCTCTCATCTGTGCTTTTGTTCGAATCAATGGGATGCCTTCCTGTCATCATTTCCACGAGCAATACGCCAAACGAATATACATCACTTTTTTCAGTGAGTTGGTATGTCTTGAGGTATTCAGGATCCAAGTAGCCAGCTGTTCCTTTAACTTGAGTGGAAATGTGAGTTGCTGTAGGATCCTCAGCGGCTAGCCGTGCAAATCCAAAGTCAGCTACTTTCGCACGGTATTTTTCCGTGAGCAGTATGTTTGATGCTTTAATATCTCTATGGATAATTGGAGGCTCTGTAATTTCAGGTTGAGCCAAAAAATTAGGAACTGAGTAGTACTTCTAATAAAGTCTGCAAACGAAGATATTATTGTTTGCTCGCAACGTACAAACTTACCAGTGTATGTGTGGAGATAGGTAATTGCATGAGCGACATCAGTTGCAATGTCTAAACGTTCTGCAGTTTCAAGTCCATCTCCCCGCGTCCCTGCATCACAAGGTCGCTGGATTTCAATTTTGACACACAACTTTCCCGTGATCATTATGTTTGATGCTCTGATGTCTCTAATATTCATGCTAAAATCGAAGAGCTAACATATTTGTGTTGAAATAAATGTATAGGAGGCCTATTTACAGCCAAGATCCACGGATAGAAATATAGTGTGATTCCGGATTCCTTATTCATCTCAAGATCCCATGAAGTAACCTGAGCTTTCTCCTTGCCACTTTACCAGTTACTACCTACCCGAGATTCAATATGCAGATTAGGAGAAAACAAAACTAAGATTTATTATTCATCAAAGCCTAACACTTGAAGAAAAAAAGGGGATGATCACAACAAGCAATAATAACAAATCTATCAGGACATAACTTTTCCCCCCCTTATAGTTGACAATGCATGCTAAGTTTTCCCATAGCAAAGAAGCTCAACAAAAATCTATTCCAGAATCAGCTAATTAACGTGGAAGTTCGTGTGGACGTTATTTATCTCAGAAAGCAAATGAATGCCATTGCAATTCAAGTGAAAATATGGGGTTCGTGTTCGTGCTCTGTTGCTTCACCTACCGTCCAAGTGCTCTCTAAGGGTTCCATTGCTGACATATTCAACGATGATTATGCGCTCGTTTCCATGCTCCAGGTACCCCAGAAATCTTACCAAATTCAGGTGCTCGATCTTTGATAATGTCAAAATTTCATTCTTGAACTCTGCTGACAAACGTTGATCAAAAGATTCCTGCCAAAATTTTCGTGTTACATCGCAAATTCACAGGAAATGGCCCCTCAAGATTTACATTTGTTGGTGGTTAATTCTCCTTACCATTTTAGCGCGCTTTATGGCGACCATAAATCCATCCCAAAGCTTCGCCTTGTAAACTGTTCCGAAAGCTCCCTCACCAATTATATTTGCTGAAGAAAAATTGCCAGTTGCCTTCGATATCTCATTAAACGAAGTTTGAAGTGAACCAATCTGTATAATATTGTCATTGGAAGACTCGCGAGAGTAGGAGTATTTTGTTCTTGATGAAGATTTACTAGTGCTTCCAGTAGAATCATCTATTGAATCTGCAGAACGTCAAGAACCAACCCAAAAAAAAAAAAGGTTAATTCATGCCACTTCCATGCAAAAGTGGATTGACAATATAGTGAGATGTATCAAAATCCCGTCATGTAATAAGTATAAGCTTATCGGTAACCTCAATATCAGAATCTGCTTCTTGATTTACTTTTGTATTCTAGTATATGCTCATGCCAGACCATTGTCCAACTTGGGGGCAAATGAAGATACATAGATCAATGCCAAGATGGCATGCTGGGAAAGATTTACTCACCGGACAATCCTGTAACAGCACGTTTTACTTTGTTGGCTTTAGTTTGATCAGCGGTGGAGTTGACCTCCCTCTTCCAAAAGAGAAGCGCAGCAAGAACTCCAGCCACTCTCTTGCTGGCAGCTCTGATGAAGCTGGATGTAGATCGAGACTTCTGATTCGTTGCAGAAGTCTGATTGCTAATTGCACTGGTGTGGGAACGGGGACTGGGACTCTCTTTTCTGATTTGGCACCGACGGATGATCAGAGGACTCGGAGTTTTCATCCTATGCAGAGACGGAGACCCTTCTGGCAGGACAATCTTTGACTCATCATTCTCTAAAACTTTAACCACTAGCGATGACACCGTCTTGCTAAATGCCCTCTAGCCGTAGATTCAGGACTGATTCAAACATTGTGTTAATTGGTACTCGAAGATGGAAAGAGTAAAACAGAGACACTGTCAACTGCTGGATGGATTACTTGTCTGAAGTAGAATGTCGATAATACGGAAAATTTTGTCTGAATAATAAGTTCAACTTGTTCAGATCAATCATTACTGGTACGCGTGTGTGTGTCTATATATATTTATATGTATATATATATATATATATATATATAGCTGCACAAGAGCTCAAGGTTGTTTTGGTTTTGGCCGTGGCATGGAGCCATGACTAGTTTGATAATGGTTAGAAAAGATAGTCAAAATAGACACGGTATACAGGATGCAAAAAAAGAACAAGGTGCAGAAAACCGGTGGCAACAATCAACTATTGAACCCTTTTCATCTTGCTCACACGAGTTTTACTCTCATTTACACGAGCAACTGGTGTTCAAATGGTGTATTATTTGAAATAAGGAATCATTTCAAAAACCTCTCCTGAGATTTCTGATAATTTCAACTAGCCTTTCTTGAAGTTAGTAAAATTACACAAACCTCCCCTGAGGTTAAGATTTTGATAACAAAATTAGTCCAATTAAAAAAAGTAACATTAAAAAAGTACTTTAAGAAGAGAGATGAAACTTTTATTCCATAAATACCCCTTATGCATGTATATAAGTTGTATTAGTAAAAGGATGAAAAGATTTAAAAATTAGAAACAATTAATACGCATATCTCACTATTCAAAAAATTCACATTTAATAAATTAGACAACACAAATAAGCAACAAAACTACACTAATGAATACAACATTTAACAAAAACAAACTAGTCATCTTTTTTGACATAATATTTGTTACGATTCTTATGATCTTTAACAGAAAATTTTTTCAAAATTTACCTTTCTTTTCCCTCATTTCTCCTTTATGAATATCTAATGATTAAGTAATTAGAGTACTAATTAACTAATAGTAACTAATTAGGTGAAATAACTGTTGAAAATTTCTTTAATGATGAATGATGACTTGTAATTACAAAATAACATCAATTGATATACCTTATGACATTATCTTGTGATTGATATAATTTGACAATAACTAGAAATCAGTTGTATATAATGTGAGAAGAAGGAATTTGGTAGAAGAGAAAATTGTTCATGAGGATATTTTCTTTAAAACTCTTAAAGTTGTGATAGTTCTAAAATAATTTCATGGAAGTAAAAGAGAAATAAGAGGGAAAAAGGCAAAATTTGAAAATTTTTCTATTTAAAATCACAAGAATCATAACAAACATCATGTTAAAAGAGATGATTAATCTGTTTTGCTGAATTTTGTGATAATTAGTGTAATTTTATTATTAATTTGTGATGTCGAATTTATTAAATGTGTGCTTTTTGAGTGGTAAAATATATTTATTAATTATTTCTAACTTGTAATTATTTTTATTCTTTTATTAATACAACTTATATACATACATAATAGGTATTTATGAAATAAAAGTTTCATCTCTCTCCTTAAAATACTTCTTTAGTGTTATTTTTTCTAATTGGACTAATTTTGTTATCAAAACCTTAATCTCATGGGAGGTTTTGTATAATTTTACAAACTTCAGGAGAGACCAGTGAAATTGTCAAAAACCTCAGGAGAGGTTTCTGAAATTATCCCTTGAAATAATTTCAGTAACTTTTTGCTATTTGATGTATATAAAGTAAAAGAGTAGTTGAAAATATAAAAAAAAAAAATTAAAAACATATTTATAATACAAGTAAAATAATATTTAAAATAATTTATATATCCAAAACTCCAAACACACCCCTTGTTTTTGTCAAAAGCCAAAATTCTAGCACGGCAATCCCTGTTTAGAAACAAATAATTCAATAATCATAGAGGCAGAGTTCGAGCCAGGAAAGGCCATCCTCCGTCTTCCTCAATCCGAGAACAAAGATTCGAAGAAACCAATACATTTGCCACCACATTAGTGTTTAAGCAAATTGCTTTGTCAGATTGTTTTACGAAAATTGAAATTGCAAATC